AGGCACTTTGCTGACTAAGTCGTTTCCCATCCCCTCAGCTCTGCTTTCTGCATACCACCAGTTAAGTGCCTTCTTCTTAGATTCTGATAAGGTTTAACCTCGGATCGTCTACCACTCAAAAACCTCAAGATACTTCCTGTACTACCCAAAGAAAGCCTGAACTCCTGAGGTCCCAGAGGCTGGTGAGAGCTGCCCCTCACTCCTGCAGCCAGTAGGCATTCTGGCCTCACTTCCCCATCCCTCTCAGAGAACACATCTTTCCTTCCATCTGTGTCCTTGCCTCTCTGTCTCTAACCTTTTGCCCTGGTCTGTTCATGGCCATGACTCAGCTGTAACACCAACTTCTCTGAGAATTGTACAAGTGGAGATTTTACTAGTTAGAGCTGTCTCTCCATACAGTACACACTGGCTCATTGTGTGTGTGTGTGTGTGTGTGTATGTATGTATGTGTGTTGCACATATGTGAACATGTGAAGGTCACCCATTGCTGTCTTCCTCAGTCTCTTTCCTCCTTATTTATTGAGGCAGGGTCCCTCACTGAACTTTATCAATTCAGTAGACTAGCCAGCAAAGCCCAGAGATCCTTATGTCTCGACCTAGCCCTGCGTCTTAGGTGGGTTCTGGGCTATAAACTCAGGTCCTCAAGCTTACACAACCAGCACCTTACCAACTAAGCAATCTCCCTGCTCCCACCTTGTGTCTCCTCTGTGGCCCTCACACCCAGGCTGTGAAGCTGTTGCCAACTGCCACCCACATCAGCCTCTTTTGGGACTGGGGACTCAATGCCAGCAGATATCCAAGCTTCCAGGCTTTCTGAGTCTGATGGGTAGAGCAGAGGCATCCAGCTATGGGAATTGAGTAGCGACCAGGTTCCACATGAAGGTGATTGTTGGACCGCTCCCTTCCTGTCGCCTTCTGCCCTTACATTTAATTTACTGTTTTACTTAAAGCACATATTAGCTTTGTGTTGAAGTGGCCATGCATCCTGGGCATTGGGGTGAAAGAGTGTGTAGCTTCTATGCGTCCGTTGAGTCGCATGATCATTGTGGTGGTATATTTTTTGATTGTTTTGTTTTGTTTTTTGTTTGTTTTTTGGCAGGGTCTCACGGTATAGCACTGACTGATCTTGAATTCACTAAATAAATTAAATTCACCCCATTGGCCTCCAGCTCACTGAGATACACCTGACTCTGCCTCTCGGACTCTGGGATTAAATGCATGCACCAACACGCTCAACTTCGGTGGTGGATGTCTGAGTGCCCTGTACTTCCTCATAGCCACAAGTTATCTTATCCGTTCTCAACCTGTGCGTCCTGACCCCTGGGGGCGGGGCAAATGATCCTTCCACAAGGATTACCTAAGACTACCAGAAAACAAGATATTAACTTGACGATTCATAACAGTAGCAAAGTTACAGTTACGAAGCAGCAACGATAATAATTTTATGGTTGGGGTTCACCACAACATGAGGAACTGTATTAAAGGTTTTGCAGCATTAGGAAGGCTGAGAACTGCTGGGCTTCACCCTGTGTGCTTCCTGAGAGAGTCTAGCCACAGCTGCTCAGTCTTTTGGAGCGGTTGAGAGGTGTTCTACAGGAAAGAATTCTTAACCCACCTTGGCCTCTGATATGGCCTTTCTGAGGTTATGAAGACGGGACTGTTTCAAGACCCTGGCGCCCTTGGTCTTCTGGGGCATGAGGAAGAGCAGATTCTCAGCTCTGGAACTGCGTAGCCAGAATCTGTGTCTCCTGAGTGTGTTTTCAGGGGCATCTCCACAGTGCTCTTGTACACCGATTGCAGGGTTAAGGGTGAGGGGATGAAGCAGTCTGAAGTTCCAGCCTCCCCCAGAACACAGTGATAATATCACCTAGTAGAATCAGCTCGGAAAGACCACAATAGGAGGGAAAAGATTGCTTCTCTTTTGGCTTTGGTCAAATGCAGGCAGGATGGCTACATGAGGTGTGCTCACACAGCCTACAGGATGGAACTCCATGGTAACCACCTCCAAGTGGCCCTTCTTGGAGGAAGGTCCTGGAGAATCTTTTTCTCCCTCCTACATCTTCAACTAATTGTTCAAATCATCCATCCATCCATCCATCCATCCTTCACCCAAATATGGTCCTGGTCTTACGTATGCTGTAATCATGACAAGAAAAAGGAAATAAATGTCTCTATCTGGATATCTTCTTTTGAAATATTTTTATTTCACTCTTTTCTAACAGTAATATAGAAACAAATAATCATAAAAATAAAATTGTAAATTGTCCATTGACTATGTAATAGCACTTGGTATTGCTACAGGGGTAGATCTTGGATGAGGCCAGGTTACAGCCAGGCCTACCCAGGCCCCTTAGGGCTCTGTGATTGCTACTGAGTCCTTGGAGGCAATGGGCATGACCTGTGGCAGCACAGTGGATATTTCGTGTCTCACGGGGGGTGGAGAGACTTGGGGGGCGTGGAGATGGTTAATGATGAAACAGCAAACTGGACTGTGTACATACAGTAAGCCAGGAAACTGGCTGTGGAAGGCTGTTAATGTTGCGTGAATTCTACAAGTAGAATGAACAGTTAATGGCTTGTGCTCACCATGAAAGGCAGGGAACTAACAGATACTAACTGCACATAAAAAAATAGAATGACTTTCCCCTCCACTTTTGTGACCCCCCCCCCCCCCCCCCCGCCCACTTTCTGTCTTCATCCCAGGATGAGATTCTCTTGGGATGAACTTGAGATGAACAACTTAAGCTGAGACATCTAACCTATTCAAATCCATGCCTGGGACAAAGTTTCCTCAGAGAACAAAAGGGGGAGGAAGATGGTGGGTTAGCTGAGCACAAGCTGCTCAATCATGTATTTAGCTGCTGACCACATCCAATTCGATTGCGTTAAGCTGAGGGTGTCAGTTTCTGTAATGACTGATAAAATGTTTTTGAGATGTGGTCTCACGTAGCCCAGGCTGGCCTGGAGAATTGACTATGTATCATAGGTTAGCCTTGAACTCCTTTTCCTCCCCCCTCCACCTCCTGAATGCTGGGATTAGAGATGTGGTAGCTTGACTAGTGATTAATTTCTTACCAGGTTAACCTTGTTTCTAGAATATGAGATGAGCCTTCTTTCACGTGTTCTCTGTGACGTGGTGTGTGAGGGACAGCCAGCAGGAGACTGGAGTCAGGAGGTCATGAGAGGTGCTAAGGCCTCTTGGGACTTGGCAGTGTTTTATGTGGGCTCTAAGGAAGGGATTGGGGTCAAGGCCTATGGACTTCAGGGCTTTTAAAAAAAAATCTTGGCTATCTTATTCTACCTTTTAAAAAAAGAAACACAAACTGCCTGGCTCTGAAATCACAAGGAAGAGGCCATTCAGTCATCCGTGACCATTCAGTTATAACTTCCCATTTCAGCCTCTCCCTGGGTGTGTTGTGGTGTGTGTGGACACAGCCAATTGGGATTCCAGGGAGAACAAACATTCTATACAGAGAGCAGTCAGTGTAGACTACAGGACTATGACTGATGGGAAGTGTCGAAGGTCCACCATCCTGGCATCATGCTTCTCCCCCTCCCCGCAAGACTTCGGATTGCAAAGTGGGGAGAATGGGTAGGGCCTGAAAGGGAGGGAGAGAGAAGCTGGCAACTTATGGGTTTGGCAGAGCAGCAGGACCATCTCTTGGAAGTTTAAGTTCATTGACAGGAGATCCGTTTAGGCCTGACTCACAGTAATTTCACACTTTAGTATTCTACAGCCACTAAGCAGCCAAGTGACTTGAGGGAAGCTGTTCTCATTCCTGGCTTCCCTTTGGCCCCTCTGCTAATGAGCCGGCCTCACTAGACACACCCAATGTCTGAGAAACTTGTGTCAACAGGATTACATGTGGCCAGATGTGCTGTATCAGGTCTTCCCTGAACCCATCAACTTAACATTTTGCTGATCTCCAGGTTTCTCTGAGGGGGAAAAAACTCTCAAAACTAACCCCCAAACTCTGCTTGGCTTACTCAACTGGCTCACAATTTGGACAAGAATCAAACGGGTATTAACGAGTTAGCAACACATTAGTTAACAGTCATGGTCAATTAAAATTCATTGTTTAGGTCAGGCACAGTCTTGAAGAGAGGCTAGGGGCGGGCTTCTGGACTCCCTGGGGTCTTTGGTGCTGAGGATAAGGTATTGTGGATGACACCATCAGGTCCCACCAGGAAGGCCTCTGTCATGCCCCCTACGGTAGAATTTACTTGGGGGAAATCTGTTTCCTATCTGCCTGGTTTAGTCACCAGCGGACTGCTAGGTGCTCCCCTGGGGTTGTGAGTGGCAGAGAAATAACTGAAGTGGTTGTAACTGGAGTTAGCATGGAGAGCAGGGTGTCTGGGTCCCCCTACCAAAGCTATCCAAGGTACATGTGCCATGTGTCACGGAGCAAGCTGGAAACAGCATGGCCTTGTAGCATTAAGGCTATAGTTCAAAGTCACAGGGCGGAGCTCCCTCCCAGGGATGCTGGCGGCCATCAAAGAGAAGCCTGCATTCCCACGTGCTGCCTCGTTATTCCTCTAGGTTTTCTTGTCCTAGCACACCCCTGTCCAGGTTGCTGAGTCACCTACTTAGGAGCAATTAGAGCTAGAACTGAGAGGGTGGTAACAGTACATGAGAGATGAGAGTGCCTTATACATTTAATCTTCCCCACTTCCTCAGAGGAGAGCTTTCTGTAAGAACAAGTTTTGTGTGTGTGTGTGGGGGGGGTGACCCCTTTGGGATCCAACATCATAGCACCGATGATTTTAGGCCACAGAGGGGAGCAGGCCACAGGGATCTCTCTGAGACCCCTGTCTTACATAGTGTCTGTAGACTTTCGATGATTGAACGTGAAGACCTAGGTATGCAAGGCTGAAGCTCTGGGGGCCTTCTGTTCCCCAGCATGGCCGCAGGAAGACCCACTTTAAGTAACTTGGTCTGAGCCCCTGCCCCAAGCCCTTAGCTCTGGTCCCCCCCCGCCTCCCTTCCATCCTAAGGCTTCTCAGCAGAGAGAGAACCTTCTGGAGTTGATGTTCATTTTGGTGACACCAATGAGCTTGAGCGGTGTGGAAAGGCTGAAGGAGGATGCCAGGGGGGAGTCACAGAAGAGGTCGGACAGCTCATCACGCTCCTCCAGCTCGTAGGCAGCATCGTTGAGCATTCTCCTGTGCAGGCGGCAGGTCTGCTCAATCTTCAGCTTGTTGATGTCTCCACGGAGGCGCATGAGCTGCCTGGCCAGCTGCTGGTCCTGGAGCCGCATCTCTGCCTGGAGGGGCAAGGCCAGACATGGGTCAGCAGGGGCATGGTGCCTGCAGCTCTGTGAGCTCTGCTGAGGACACTCGTTAATAGGAATCCCAACTGATGCCCTGGATCACTGACAGGTCTGTCTGCCAACAAGCACAGTCCCTAGGTCAGCGAGGTGAAAGGACATTGCAGTGGTACGGGAAGGTGTCACGGCCCAGTGAAGCTTTGTGCCAGGCTAGCAATTACGTCTATGTCCTCCTACAGGCCGGTCCTAGCTTACAGTCACCTGTAGCTCATTCCCATCCTTCGGTGTTCAAAAGGATGCTCAGGTGAAACGAGACTGCAAAGAGTACAGACACCAAATTCGGCAGCATAGCTTCCACATGGGAAGAAGGGATGAGGTGGGCAGGACAATGAGGGCTTTTTGCTGGGACAGCCCCCATTAGGTCCCGAGTGTGGTCTGGCACAACGTGAAATTCAGACACTTTACAATGTATTTTCATCTTATCCACCTATTACTACTACCGTCTTCCAATTTTCCTGAGTGCCTTCCCAACCCTAACTTTCAAATTCATTTCCTCCTTTTATTTAAAAAAAAAAAGTGTAATTAGTATCTCTGAATCTAGTTAGTTCTGTTCATATGCTCAGGGGTGTGGACCATATATATACTGGGATGTAGCGCCCTACCAGTGGTCATGTGACTCTCCCTCACTCTGCAACCTGCTATTTTTCTTTCATCAGACATCTTACAACGACTTGTTGATATACATCTTAATAAAGGTTCCTAAGAGCCAATCAAAAAAAAAAAAGCTGATATTTACTATGAACCAGGCACAGCTAACACACTAAATCGCCATCATAGCCTGAGGAGTAAAGTTCTTACTATGCTACAGGTCACAGATGGGGAAGTTAAAGTCAACTGTCAAAAGGCCCAGAAGCTGGGGTAGGGGCACAGACTGTGGGTACCCACGAGACTGACAACTCCGTTCGCCTCTTAGGTAGAGTGGAGCCTATGCGGGGCTGATCAAAGCTCGGGGACCCTGTAGCGGGTTTCTGATGGTTTTTCAGCATCTCTGTTTTCTATTAGGAAAGGGATGTACTCAGAACTCATCTTAGCAGCACTTGGCAAAATCCATCTCCACACCAGACCCTGTGGTACCGCAGGCAGCTGCCGTGAAGGTCTGTATTTTGCAAGTGAGGATACAGGAACTCCCAGGGCTTCAAGGTGTCCCTGGGCTTCACAGCTGTGACTTGGCAGGGAAGGAATGCAGCTGTGATCTCACCAGGCTTCATGGGCAGCCCTGCCCTATTAACAAAGCTTGCTCACTCAGACAGGCCACCAGCTGTTTCTACTGGACCCGAGACCCAGTTCCATCCCGCCATTGACGCTGCCGACGCCTGCAAGTGGTTATTGTTTCAATGCTTTTTCTGTCCTCAGATTCAGCTGTCCAGGTGCTAGGAGCCAAAAGAGGCCTGAGATTCAGGAGGACCCTGCCCCTGCGGTTATGCAAATGAATGCAAATGTTCTCACTTTCTCCACTCGGTTTGGAAATACAGCCCATTTCCATGAAGAAAATTAGTGACCCCACTAGTGAGCATTCAGTGTTCTCTTTCTTCCCCCTTCCTTTCTCTCTCTCTCTCTCTCTCTCTCTCTCTCTCTCTCTCTCTCTCACACACACACACACACACAATACATAAATAAATAAATCTTTTTTTTCTTAAATGTGAAGGGCTAAGACTTCATATAAAGCCTTTACACGTTACAAAAATGTAAAATCTATATAACATAAAATGTATCATCTTGGTCATTTTGAAGCACACAGTCCAGTAGTGTCAAAGACATGCATTGCTGTGAAATCATTGCCACCACTCAATGCCAGAACTGTTCCGTATTTGTCAACTAAAAGATGTGCTCGTTAAAAAAAAAAAAAAAATCCCAACCCCTTCTTCCAACCCTGGCAACCCCATTCCACTGCCTATCTCTATGACCTAGACGGCTCTAGAGGGCCCTGCCCCTTGCCCCCATGAGCAGGACCCTACAGTGTTTGCTCTTCTGTGACTGGCTTATTTCGCTTCTCATCATGCTCTCCAGGTTCACATGGCGGAGAGGCTTTTAAAATTAAATGTCTTTAGCCATGTCTAAAGGACACAGGTCACTGTGGATAACATGAATGCCAAGATCTGTGCCCCGACCCCTGGCTCCCTGCACTTCGCTGGCTGCCTGTCTCTTCCCCGGCCCTGGGCATCAAATTTATCTGTCTTATAGAAGAGGAAACTAACTCAAGCCCAGTCCTCCTGGGAATGGTGGCACTCAGATCCCTCTGGGTCAAAGCAGTGGCTTTCCCAGGGCCTGGAGGCAGTGGACTTCTGGGGCAGACCCTGTTGCAAGGGTGCCCCTCCCACCTGCTAGCTGAAACAGTCACTAAAGTTTCCTGAACTTCCACCCCTACTTCTCCAAGAAAGGACTGATGAGGTCTCCAGATCATCATAGCATCAAGAAGCTGTGCATAGCAACCCTAGGGCAGCAGCTGCCTGTGGTCAAGCTCCTCCCTTCCAGTCAGGAAGGGAACCCACGGAGCGTCTAGGCTGGCTCACTGGTCCTAAGACTCCAGCCTAGAGAACTCAACTGGGCCTAGGTCAAATACTCTCCTCTGGAGCTCAGTGTAGAATATACTTATTTTCCACCCCAACCCCAGGGTGGCCTGCCCTCCCTCTGAGGAGGCAGGCACAGGCTGGATTCCGAGCTGTGGTTTGCTGTTCCAGTAATCCCACAATCAGGGCATAGCACCCGATGAAGTGGGTAGAGACGCCACCGGTCAGGGGCTTAGGGGGATTGTAGGGTCTTCAGAGACTTGAGGTAGTGGAGGCAGCCTTTCTGAGAGCCAGTGCTGTCCCTCGGACTCCTGGGACGCTGGTGGTTTGGAGGCAAATGAGAAACCTCTTAGGAGAATCGGCTTGTTTCTTCAGGTAGAAGGCGAACCCCTAAGGGTAGGATTAGCTCACTAAACAGCAATTACAGGGCTCTGTAAGAGAAGACATTTCCTGACTTCCCAGCGCACTGTGGGTGGGGAGAGGTGACGGAGATGCTGAGGGAAGAAAGCCTGGGGAGAGAGTCCATTGAGAGAATCCAGAACAGAACCCTGCTTACTGGGAAGGGCACACCAACTGCACCAAGGGTTTTCCTGAGAAGAAAAGAGAAGCTCAGTCCTGCTCTGGGCTGGGGCCAATAAAAATGATGCTGTAGACATCCCCTGGATGCCCTAAATAAGTTCAGTAGTTACCATATATATGACCAGGGGTTTCGCCCAAAACTGGAGGCAGGCACTCCAACAGAGACCTCTGCCCCCACATACATAGCGGCACACCCCAACTGTAAAACAGATGAATGCGGTCAATCCACCCTTTGGATGGTATCTAGTTGTAGCAACCAGGAGACTCAGACACATGTCACAAGTGGATTTGGGGGCATTATGCCAAGTGATACTAGCCAGCGACAAAGGGATAAATATGTGACCCATGTATGTGAAACAGACAGCAGAAAGGGGTTTGCCAGGGCGTGGGGGTTGGGAATCAGTGTTTAACGGCCAGCACTGATAGAAAGAGAATACAATATGGGGAAGATCATGCATCTAGTCCCTAATTCTGGGGCTCCTGTGGGTGCTCTCTCGGCCTCAGAGCCTCCATTTGTCTGTGATGGATGTTAGAGGGCCAAGCACTATCTCAGCACGTGTGAAGGAGCAGAATGTGTTCAATTTCCACATGGTTGGACAATGTGAGGTTTGTAAACGCTCTTTGTATTCTGCGGCTGGTGTTTGTCTAGATCCACCCAAAGGTCAGCCATTGTTATAATCGGGCAGGTATAATGTCAGCCATTGTTACAGCCGGTATTGTGTTGGAGTCCGTGTAGAAGCAATACAATGCAGGACACATTAACCTTAGTTTGACCCCCGAGGCTGCCAGACAGGTGACCGTGGAAGGAGGCAGGTGGTATGGGTAAGGTGTCTTGCTCAATAGAAACTTGAGTTTCTGGGAATCTGTAGAAAGAAAAACTCAAAGGTTCCCAGCAGCCAGCTCCACATTGTGAATTGGTTTCTGGGGGAGTTATGGACTCGGGCGGAGGTGGAAGTATGTTTCATGGGGAGAAGGTGGCTGGGCCACAGAGGTGGGAGCGGCCTCTCTTGACAGTGAGAAGGCCCTATTATCTATAGTCCCTGGCCTGGGCTGAGGGACTGGAGAGCTGGCAGCCTGGCTCCAGTCCCGGGGGCTGGTTCAGTTAGGGAGGAGGGAACCGTTTAATTTGCTTGCTCTCTCTGGGCCTAGTCTACTTCCTGTGAGCTGGGCGGGTATTGATCAGGAAGGCCAGACTAGAGTCAGGGCTAAGCACAGAACTGGGGCCCTTCAAGCCCTCCTGGGGAATTCCTGACTCTACCCAAGTGTGAAGCTTTAAAGACGTGACAGGGTTTTCAATTTTTCATACTTGGAAAGTCCCTAACCTGTTACCTTCTCTATGAGAGCCTGGACTTTCAGAGTTATCAGGGGCTCTGGCTTCCGGTTCCCAAACAGCCCCCTACTAGGTCAACATCCCTGGGGAGGTGTGAACCCCTAGCAGAAAAGAGAAAAGGATGGTTGCCCCCACCCTGATTCATCAGACGGCATCAGGGGTGGGAAGGAGGGAGACATTCCAGGAAGAGGCACATGACAGAGAGAAACAGGAGAGGCGAGGAGTTGAGGACCGGTGGGGGCTTGAGCTGACACATCTCAAAAGAAAACAATACACACAGGTCACAATCCCAGAGAACCTGGACAATGAGGAGGACCCCAAAAGAGACAGACATGAATCTAATCTACATAGGAAGTAGAAAAAGACAAGATCTCCTGAGTAAATTGGGAGCATTGGGGACCATGGGAGAGGACTGGAGAGGAGGGGAGAGACAGGGAGGGGAGCAGAGAAAAATATACAGCTCAGTAAAAACAACTTTTTTTTTTTTTTTTTAAAGAAGACAATATGGTAACAGGCAAATT